TAAGTTATAAAATCAATTTTATTTATTGTAATGTGTAAATAATATTTTTATTGTTGTATATTATATTTAAGAAAAAATAAAACAAATAACTTAATTTTAACCTTAATTTTTGCGTTTTTATGTAAAATATATATATGCTGTGCTAAAACAGGATATCATAATGAGATAGGATATCACATAGGACAACTTAAAAGAAATATAGTATGTCACAAAATTTATGTTAACGACGCTTTGTTCAGATGTTAGATGTATTGAAAGTTTTCTTAGGAGTAACAATTATATGAAGATATTACATATTAAAGAAATTTCTTCTTGAACAAATCACATATCCTTTACTCAGTATGACAGTTAGTCTCTGTGGACATATATTACAATAATATACCCGTATGTTGACTGGTAAGTCATATTTTAATTAGGAAAAGTAATATAGATTACTCGTTATGATTTCGAGTTAAATTTATTGTGCGCAAACACTACCATGTAACTTCTAATCGGAATATTGGTCATGAGAGTAAGTCTCAGAGTAAGGATATACTTTATTCATATGCAGATCAAAAATAAGATCATATATACTGACCGATGTAGTAATTACAGTAGAGCTTCAGAGTAATTTAGGACATTACTTTATTCAAATATAGAGTAAAAATCAGATATAATTAGAAAACACACAGTTACAGATATGATTACATACTAAAGATAAGTCTCATCATCAACAAACAATATCAGAAGCTTTATTAATATGTCCAATATTTTTGAATACCATTTATACCATTTATAAAATAGACTTTTTAAATATAGATTGTATTATGCTTATCACTGTTCAAATTGTTTAATACGGTACCTTATATGGAAATATCCGTATAGATGATGTGTTTCGATAATAATGAAAATTGTTTTCTGAGATCTGGACAATAAAAATATTTATTTGTTGTTTTGAGTTTAATAAAAAGTTGTTGATTAGAGTTACCAAGTGAACTCAATTCATAAACTCAAACAAATACAATACAATATTTGAATTCCATATATTGTTTACAAAATCGTACAATAACTGTATTACGAATAGCATTTCTATAAACGAAAATAAAATAAATTAAAATAATGGAATTATATAATAAAAAATATATAAATAACAACAATTTAAGAGAATGAAATAATAGTTCATAGTACCTGCATTCAAAAGTAATAAAGCATCATCAAAACATTTCTTCACTACCTGTGAGTTTTGTGCAACCAAAAGATAATTTGTCAAAAATATTATTTTTAGATAAACAAGATGCAACAATTCAACAATGTAACAAACAATCAGAAAGGTATATAAATCGGCATATATTACTGGTGCTAATCAGTTTCAATTTAGAATTGTAATTTGCAACATCTACTCGTATACAAAGTAGCAGAACATATTTTGGACTACAACCTATTGAATCGTATACTTCAATCTGATATACAATTACATATACAAAATGGCAAGTGGAAAAGCAAGTATTGGATATAGATTGTTCCAACATCGATCGGAATTAAAACAGAAGAAAATACGTCCATTGCGTTTATATCGAACAAAACTCGATTTGACGGATGAGCTTATATCCACAAAATATAAGAATGTACGAGAATGCAGCTTGGATGATCTAAAAGTAATGACACGTGAGATGATATATAAGCAGAAATTATTAAAATGTGTTTTATCGGCTAACAAGAAATCACAAAGGAAAATAATGGGCAAACCTTCAACTAAGAGGACAAATAAATCTAATTGATGAAAATGCAACGTTACTTTCATTACTACCATATACTGATGTAAACATTTAAAGACTGATATCACAATTTTTTTAGACTTCAAAAACGATTGAGTTTAACTCTTGATTATAAAAAATTAACTAGACATATTTTATATTTTATTTTTTAAGTTATAAAATCAATTTTATTTATTGTAATGTGTAAATAATATTTTTATTGTTGTATATTATATTTAAGAAAAAATAAAACAAATAACTTAATTTTAACCTTAATTTTTGCGTTTTTATGTAAAATATATATATGCTGTGCTAAAACAGGATATCATAATGAGATAGGATATCACATAGGACAACTTAAAAGAAATATAGTATGTCACAAAATTTATGTTAACGACGCTTTGTTCAGATGTTAGATGTATTGAAAGTTTTCTTAGGAGTAACAATTATATGAAGATATTACATATTAAAGAAATTTCTTCTTGAACAAATCACATATCCTTTACTCAGTATGACAGTTAGTCTCGGTGGACATATATTACAATAATATACCCGTATGTTGACTGATAAGTCATATTTTAATTAGGAAAACTAATATAGATTACTCGTTATGATTTCGAGTTAAATTTATTGTGCGCAAACACTACCATGTAACTTCTAATCGGAATATTGGTCATGAGAGTAAGTCTCAGAGTAAGGATATACTTTATTCATATGCAGATCAAAAATAAGATCATATATACTGACCGATGTAGTAATTACAGTAGAGCTTTAGAGTAATTTAGGACATTACTTTATTCAAATATAGAGTAAAAATCAGATATAATTAGAAAACACACAGTTACAGATATGATTACATACTAAAGATAAGTCTCATCATCAACAAACAATATCAGAAGCTTTATCAATATGTCCAATATTTTTGAATACCATTTATACCAATTAAAATAGACTTTTTAAATATAGATTCTATTATGCTTATCACTATTCAAATTGTTTAATACGGTACCTTATATGGAAATATCCGTATAGATGATGTGTTTCGATAATAATGAAAATTGTTTTCTGAGATCTGGAAAATAAAAATATTTATTTGTTGTTTTGAGTTTAATAAAAAGTTGTTGATTAGAGTAACCAAGTGAACTCAATTCATAAACTCAAGCAAATACAATAAAATATTTGAATTCCATATATTGTTTACAAAATCGTACAATAACTGTATTACGAATAGCATTTCTATGAAACAAAAATAAAATAAATTAAAATAATGGAATAATATAATAAAAAATACATAATTAACAACAATTTAAGAGAATGAAATAATAGTTCATAGTACCTGCGTTCAAAAGTAATAAAGCATCATCAAAACATTTCTTCACTACCTGTGAGTTTTGTGCAACCAAAAGATAATTTGTCAAAAATATTATTTTTAGATAAACAAGATGCAACAATTCAACAATGTAACAAACAATCAGAAAGGTATATAAATCGGCATATATTACTGGTGCTAATCAGTTTCAATTTAGAATTGTAATTTGCAACATCTACTCGTATACAAAGTAGCAGAACATATTTTGGACTACAACCTATTGAATCGTATACTTCAATCTGATATACAATTACATATACAAAATGGCAAGTGGAAAAGCAAGTATTGGATATAGATTGTTCCAACATCGATCGGAATTAAAACAGAAGAAAATACGTCCATTGCGTTTATATCGAACAAAACTCGATTTGACGGATGAGCTTATATCCACAAAATATAAGAATGTACGAGAATGCAGCTTGGATGATTTAAAAGTAATGACACGTGAGATGATATATAAGCAGAAATTATTAAAATGTGTTTTATCGGCTAACAAGAAATCACAAAGGAAAATAATGGGCAAACCTTCAACGAAGAGGACAAATAAATCTAATTGATGAAAATGCAACGTTACTTTCATTACTACCATATACTGATGTAAACATTTAAAGACTGATATCACAATTTTTTTAGACTTCAAAAACGATTGAGTTTAGCTCTTGATTATAAAAAATTAACTAGACATATTTTAACTCTAAGTTATAAAATCAATTTTATTTATTGTAATGTGTAAATAATATTTTTATTGTTGTGTATTATATTTAAGAAAAAATAAAACAAATAACTTAATTTTAACCTTAATTTTTGCGTTTTTATGTAAAATATATATATGCTGTGCTAAAACAGGATATCATAATGAGATAGGATATCACATTGGACAACTTAAAAGGAATATAGTATGTCACAAAAGTTATGTTAACTACGCTTTGTTCAGATGTTAGATGTATTGAAAGTTTTCTTAGGAGTAACAATTATATGAAGATATTACATATTAAAGAAATTTCTTCTTGAACAAATCACATATCCTTTACTCAGTATGACAGTTAGTCTCGGTGGACATATATTACAATAATATACCCGTATGTTGACTGATAAGTCATATTTTAATTAGGAAAACTAATATAGATTACTCGTTATGATTTCGAGTTAAATTTATTGTGCGCAAACACTACCATGTAACTTCTAATCGGAATATTGGTCATGAGAGTAAGTCTCAGAGTAAGGATATACTTTATTCATATGCAGATCAAAAATAAGATCATATATACTGACCGATGTAGTAATTACAGTAGAGCTTCAGAGTAATTTAGGACATTACTTTATTCAAATATAGAGTAAAAATCAGATATAATTAGAAAACACACAGTTACAGATATGATTACATACTAAAGATAAGTCTCATCATCAACAACAATATAGACTTATCAATATGTCCAATATTTGATACCATTTATGACCAATTAAAATAAAGACTTTTAAATTATAGATTCATATGCTATCACTATCAAATTGTTTAATACGGTACCTTATATGGAAATATCCGTATAGATGATGTGTTTCGATAATAATGAAAATTGTTTTCTGAGATCTGGAAAATAAAAATATTTATTTGTTGTTTTGAGTTTAATAAAAAGTTGTTGATTAGAGTTACCAAGTGAACTCAATTCATAAACTCAAGCAAATACAATAAAATATTTGAATTCCATATATTGTTTACAAAATCGTACAATAACTGTATTACGAATAGCATTTCTATGAAACAAAAATAAAATAAATTAAAATAATGGAATAATATAATAAAAAATACATAATTAACAACAATTTAAGAGAATGAAATAATAGTTCATAGTACCTGCGTTCAAAAGTAATAAAGCATCATCAAAACATTTCTTCACTACCTGTGAGTTTTGTGCAACCAAAAGATAATTTGTCAAAAATATTATTTTTAGATAAACAAGATGCAACAATTCAACAATGTAACAAACAATCAGAAAGGTTTCAATTTAGAATTGTAATTTGCAACATCTACTCGTATACAAAGTAGCAGAACATATTTTGGACTACAACCTATTGAATCGTATACTTCAATCTGATATACAATTACATATACAAAATGGCAAGTGGAAAAGCAAGTATTGGATATAGATTGTTCCAACATCGATCGGAATTAAAATAGAAGAAAATACGTCCATTGCGTTTATATCGAACAAAACTCGATTTGACGGATGAGCTTATATCCACAAAATATAAGAATGTACGAGAATGCAGCTTGGATGATCTAAAAGTAATGACACGTGAGATGATATATAAGCAGAAATTATTAAAATGTGTTTTATCGGCTAACAAGAAATCACAAAGGAAAATAATGGGCAAACCTTCAACGAAGAGGACAAATAAATCTAATTGATGAAAATGCAACGTTACTTTCATTACTACCATATACTGATGTAAACATTTAAAGACTGATATCACAATTTTTTTAGACTTCAAAAACGATTGAGTTTAGCTCTTGATTATAAAAAATTAACTAGACATATTTTAACTCTAAGTTATAAAATCAATTTTATTTATTGTAATGTGTAAATAATATTTTTATTGTTGTGTATTATATTTAAGAAAAAATAAAACAAATAACTTAATTTTAACCTTAATTTTTGCGTTTTTATGTAAAATATATATATGCTGTGCTAAAACAGGATATCATAATGAGATAGGATATCACATTGGACAACTTAAAAGGAATATAGTATGTCACAAAAGTTATGTTAACTACGCTTTGTTCAGATGTTAGATGTATTGAAAGTTTTTTTAGGAGTACAATTTCATGAGAATTCATATTAAACGAATTTTTCTGAACAAATAATATCTTTATCAGTGAGTTAGTCTGTGGACAATTACATATTATAGCCCGGTATGTTCGTATAGTCATAATTTTAATTCGGAACTATTATAGATTAATGTTATGATTTGGTTAAATTTATTGTGGCAACACCTACATGTAACTTCTCATCGGATATTGGTCATGAGAGTAAGTCTCAGAGTAAGGATATACTTTAGTTCTTGCAGATAAAATAAGATATATACTGCGTTATAATTAGTCGAGCTTTAAGTAATTTAGGACTTATTTATTCATATACGTAAAATCAGATAATAATTAGAAACCCAGTTAAAGATTATTATTAAAGATAAGTACATTTATACCATTTATAAAATAGACTGTTTAAATATAGATTGTATTATGCTTATCACTGTTCAAATTGTTTAATACGGTACCTTATATGGAAATATCCGTATAGATGATGTGTTTCGATAATAATGAAAATTGTTTTCTGAGATCTGGACAATAAAAATACTTATTTGTTGTTTTGAGTTTAATAAAAAGTTGTTGATTAGAGTTACCAAGTGAACTCAATTCATAAACTCAAACAAATACAATACAATATTTGAATTCCATATATTGTTTACAAAATCGTACAATAACTGTATTACGAATAGCATTTCTATAAACGAAAATAAAATAAATTAAAATAATGGAATAATATAATAAAAAATATATAAATAACAACAATTTAAGAGAATGAAATAATAGTTCATAGTACCTGCATTCAAAAGTAATAAAGCATCATCAAAACATTCCTTCACTACCTGTGAGTTTTGTGCAACCAAAAGATAATTTGTCAAAAATATTATTTTTAGATAAACAAGATGCAACAATTCAACAATGTAACAAACAATCAGAAAGGTATATAAATCGGCATATATTACTGGTACTAATCAGTTTCAATTTAGAATAGTAATTTGCAACATCTACTCGTATACAAAGTAGCAGACCATATTTTGGACTACAACCTATTGAGTCGTATATTTCAATCTGACATACAATTACATATACAAAATGGCAAGTGGAAAAGCAAGTATTGGATATAGATTGTTCCAACATCGATCGGAATTAAAACAGAAGAAAATACGTCCATTGCGTTTATATCGAACAAAACTCGATTTGACGGATGAGCTTATATCCACAAAATATAAGAATGTACGAGAATGCAGCTTGGATGATCTAAAAGTAATGACACGTGAGATGATATATAAGCAGAAATTATTAAAATGTGTTTTATCGGCTAACAAGAAATCACAAAGGAAAATAATGGGCAAACCTTCAACGAAGAGGACAAATAAATCTAATTGATGAAAATGCAACGTTACTTTCATTACTACCATATACTGATGTAAACATTTAAAGACTGATATCACAATTTTTTTAGACTTCAAAAACGATTGAGTTTAGCTCTTGATTATAAAAAATTAACTAGACATATTTTAACTCTAAGTAATGTGTAAATAATATTTTTATTGTTGTGTATTATATTTAAGAAAAAATAAAACAAATAACTTAATTTTAACCTTAATTTTTGCGTTTTTTAGTTAAAATATAAATATGCTGTGCTAAAACAGGATATCATAATGAGATAGGATATCACATTGGACAACTTAAAAGGAATATAGTATGTCACAAAAGTTATGTTAACTACGCTTTGTTCAGATGTTAGATGTATTGAAAGTTTTCTTAGGAGTAACAATTATATGAAGATATTACATATTAAAGAAATTTCTTCTTGAACAAATCACATATCCTTTACTCAGTATGACAGTTAGTCTCGGTGGACATATATTACAATAATATACCCGTATGTTGACTGATAAGTCATATTTTAATTAGGAAAACTAATATAGATTACTCGTTATGATTTCGAGTTAAATTTATTGTGCGCAAACACTACCATGTAACTTCTAATCGGAATATTGGTCATGAGAGTAAGTCTCAGAGTAAGGATATACTTTATTCATATGCAGATCAAAAATAAGATCATATATACTGACCGATGTAGTAATTACAGTAGAGCTTTAGAGTAATTTAGGACATTACTTTATTCAAATATAGAGTAAAAATCAGATATAATTAGAAAACACACAGTTACAGATATGATTACATACTAAAGATAAGTATACCATTTATACCATTTATAAAATAGACTGTTTAAATATAGATTGTATTATGCTTATCACTGTTCAAATTGTTTAATACGGTACCTTATATGGAAATATCCGTATAGATGATGTGTTTCGATAATAATGAAAATTGTTTTCTGAGATCTGGAAAATAAAAATATTTATTTGTTGTTTTGAGTTTAATAAAAAGTTGTTGATTAGAGTTACCAAGTGAACTCAATTCATAAACTCAAACAAATACAATAAAATATTTGAAATCCATATATTGTTTACAAAATCGTACAATAACTGTATTACGAATAGCATTTCTATGAAACAAAAATAAAATAAATTAAAATAATGGAATAATATAATAAAAAATACATAATTAACAACAATTTAAGAGAATGAAATAATAGTTCATAGTACCTGCGTTCAAAAGTAATAAAGCATCATCAAAACATTTCTTCACTACCTGTGAGTTTTGTGCAACCAAAAGATAATTTGTCAAAAATATTATTTTTAGATAAACAAGATGCAACAATTCAACAATGTAACAAACAATCAGAAAGGTATATAAATCGGCATATATTACTGGTGCTAATCAGTTTCAATTTAGAATTGTAATTTGCAACATCTACTCGTATACAAAGTAGCAGAACATATTTTGGACTACAACCTATTGAATCGTATACTTCAATCTGATATACAATTACATATACAAAATGGCAAGTGGAAAAGCAAGTATTGGATATAGATTGTTCCAACATCGATCGGAATTAAAACAGAAGAAAATACGTCCATTGCGTTTATATCGAACAAAACTCGATTTGACGGATGAGCTTATATCCACAAAATATAAGAATGTACGAGAATGCAGCTTGGATGATCTAAAAGTAATGACACGTGAGATGATATATAAGCAGAAATTATTAAAATGTGTTTTATCGGCTAACAAGAAATCACAAAGGAAAATAATGGGCAAACCTTCAACTAAGAGGACAAATAAATCTAATTGATGAAAATGCAACGTTACTTTCATTACTACCATATACTGATGTAAACATTTAAAGACTGATATCACAATTTTTTTAGACTTCAAAAACGATTGAGTTTAACTCTTGATTATAAAAAATTAACTAGACATATTTTATATTTTATTTTTTAAGTTATAAAATCAATTTTATTTATTGTAATGTGTAAATAATATTTTTATTGTTGTATATTATATTTAAGAAAAAATAAAACAAATAACTTAATTTTAACCTTAATTTTTGCGTTTTTATGTAAAATATATATATGCTGTGCTAAAACAGGAGATCATAATGAGATAGGATATCACATAGGACAACTTAAAAGAAATATAGTATGTCACAAAAGTTATGTTAACGACGCTTTGTTCAGATGTTAGATGTATTGAAAGTTTTCTTAGGAGTAACAATTATATGAAGATATTACATATTAAAGAAATTTCTTCTTGAACAAATCACATATCCTTTACTCAGTATGACAGTTAGTCTCGGTGGACATATATTACAATAATATACCCGTATGTTGACTGATAAGTCATATTTTAATTAGGAAAACTAATATAGATTACTCGTTATGATTTCGAGTTAAATTTATTGTGCGCAAACACTACCATGTAACTTCTAATCGGAATATTGGTCATGAGAGTAAGTCTCAGAGTAAGGATATACTTTATTCATACGCAGATCAAAAATAAGATCATATATACTGACCGATGTAGTAATTACAGTAGAGCTTTAGAGTAATTTAGGACATTACTTTATTCAAATAT